TTTAGGCTGCAGAATTTTGGCTTCCCGCTTGACTTTTTTAATCCATCCTGCAAAAACCCAGACTTGTGAGGCCTGGCCCCAATGCCTGTGGAAAAAAACAGCTCATGTATGGCTTTACATGTTGTAATTTAGTATGGTTTGGATATAACTTTAGAATTAGAAGGGGAACTCATCAAAATTGCAAATGACACTAAGCTAACAAGAATAGCCAACACACCAGAAGACAATCTCAGGATCCAAGAATATCTTGACAGATTTGAACAATGGGCCCTATCCAACAACATGAAATTCAATGTGGAGAAAAGCAAAGTTTTACATCTGGGTAGGAAATACCAAACAGGTTAGGCAAAATCTGGCTCAAAAACGGTAACTGTGAGAGAGACCTTGGAATCCTAGAGGACGATCACTTAAATATGAGCCAGCTGTGTGCGGCAACAGCCAAAAAGGCTAATACAATCCTTGGTTATATAAACAGGCACAGAATGAAAATCATGTGAAGTATTAGTACCGCTTTATAATGCCTTAGTAAGGCCACCCCTGGAATACTGCATCAACCTTTGGTCAACACATTACAAAAAGGATGTTGAGACTTTGGAAAAACTGCGAAGAAGAGCAACTAAGCCAGTGGTGGCGAACCTATGGCACGCGTGCCAGAGGCAGCACTCAGAGCCCTCTCTGTGGGCAATCGTGCAATGCCCCGGAGATGGCAACTGTCCCTCTTCAACCAGCTGCCTGCTAACTCACCGAGCATCCCTGGTTGCTGGTTTTCCTCCCCCCATCCCATCCCTCCTGGTTTTCCTCCCCCCATCCCATCCCTCCTGGCCTTGCATGATCTCCTTTTCCCGGGCACAACCTGTTGGCCGGCCATCCAGCTCAGAGGTGGCTTCTTTGAACTACTGGTGGTGGGCTGCAGAGCCCCAGAGTGTGCTGGTCGAGGGGCCGGCAGGCTATGGCCCCCATGTGCTCGCTGGCCTCTGTGTGCGGGGGCCGATGGTGTCAGGCAGCAGCCACCCGGCCCTTGCCCCGCAGGATGAGCCCCCTGTCCACTGCCCCACCTGTCAGAGACCCCCTGGATCTCCCCCAACTCTGCCCACCCCCACAGGCATCCCTCCCCATGAGCAACATTGAAGTGACCACACCCACCTTGGCCACATCCACCCAATCTGCCATGACCACAGCCACGCCCACCCAGTGGGCCACGCCCACCTGGCACCCGTCAATAAATAAGTGGGGTTTAGGTTGCAGTTTGGGCACTCGGTCTCTAAAAGGTTCGCCATCACTTAACTAAGCCGATCAAAGGCCTGGAGACAAAAACATATGAAGAAAGGTTGCAGGATTTGCGTTTGGCTAGTCTAGAGAAAAGAAGGAGTAGGGGTGATACGATAGCAGCATTTCAGGATTTGAGGGGCTGCCACAAAGAAGAGGGGGTCAACCTATTTTCCAAAGCACCAGAAGGCAAGACAAGAAACAATGGATGGAAACTAATCAAGGGGAGAAGCACACAGACCATTTGTCTGTTGAAAACGTCTCTCTCTTTTCACATTAACAGATAACGTTGGCTGGAATGGCATCGGGTCCCCTGCTTAAGTTGGGGATTGGACTAGAAAACCTCCAAGGTCCTTTTCAATTCTATGATTCTGTATTCTGTAAAAGCTGCCAAAGAAGAGAAAGGGGAAAATGTACAGGCTGAAATCTTATGGCTTGAGCCAAAAGATGATTGGCAACTGATGGAGAGGCAGAGCTGAGGTAGTAAAGTTGGCCCTGGTGGCAAAGGGCAGAAAGGCCAAGGAGATGAGTCTGAAGAAGAGTGGGCACACACCTGCCACAAAGTGCGGTGCCAAGTACATGACTTGGAAGAAGTCTCACCAAGACTTTGGAGATTCCCACGTGAAAAAAAGTTGAAGATCTCCAAATGCCCTTGGAGTCTTTGAGTCTTCCTGCTTAGCAAGAGTCTCTCGGGGCCTTCAGAGAAGTATTTTAGGAATGTTCTATTATGATGAATTTACTTTTCCCATAAGCCATTAGGGAGCTCCCTTCCTGTCTAGAGACTGAGAGGTTTAAGATGGAAAAAAGTTGCACCACAATCCCTCTTTCTCTTCAGTCAGAAGGAAGAAGAGGCTTCTGTTGAATTGTGTCAAAACTCCCCAAACCCTGGATGGACTGGAGAGTTCCAGTGGGTGAGGCTCCAAAGAGATTTTTTGATTCTAGAGATCTTAGGAAAGAGCTCTAGATATTTTGTTAAGATTTTGATGACCCTGCATGGAGAGACTTTGGTCGCCTGGTGACTAATCAGCTATGCCTGGTTGATTGTATCCCAGTCTAGGACATCATAAAGAGCTAAAAGTATGATTTTGACACCTGTTCTCCTAATGGCAAACTTTATAAAATTTACCCCTAGATATTCTTGAACCCAGAGAGTCTAGTTAGGGCCATGTCAACATGTATTGTGCAAGGTTGTGTAGCATCTGGTTCGGGTCCTTGGAAATAGTTACCCAAACCAGATGCTTACACAACTGTGCACAGTAGGTACTATATACAAAGCTCACTTCACAGTGTGCTTAATACACTATTCATACCTAAAATGAAGCAATCTTTGTAAAAAAAATTGTATAAATATTTCCATAAGAGCTTGGTGACATCTATAGGCCAAGCATTTCAGAATAACAGCAAAACAGAGTTGGAAGGGACCTGGCAGGTCTTTTCATTCAACCCCTTAATCACAACTGTCACACTCCAATTTAATCTAGTTTGGTATCTTGTGAAGACAGAGCCAGAGAGTAATCTGGAGCCAAAATATACCTTATTACTAATACCAGTCAAGCGTTCTATAGAAAGTGAGCCCAAAGTGATGGCGCAGGGGAAGCAATCAGTTGCTTGGCTCTGGTTGCAGAATTTCTGCTGAAGACCTTGCGGAAGGCAGGGAGGAAAGAAAGAATGAACAAGCAAGCATCTCATTTAAACAGAAGCAAAGAAAAAAAAACCCTCAAAAATACACAGGAGACCAAGAGCAGGCTGTCTCCAGTCATCCCCCAGACCTCGCAGAGGCACAGGGGAGCAGGCAGGAGCTACCCCAGAGTCTGTTCCACGTAGAGGCACCAAGGAGGCAGTACCTGCTCCAAGGCACACAGCAAACGGCACAGTGCAATTTCCGCTGGGCTTCCAATCTCCTAGCCATAGGAGGAAGAGGAGCTGCTTCACAGGCCATGCCTGGTGATCGGTGGTTGACAGCTGCAGACGCCCACTGCTGCCTTGCTCAAGGAGCCTTTTTGCAGTTCAGCTGTGAATCAGGGACCGTGTACAATTTGTTCCTTCATATCTGAGATAATATTTGGGGTGTCTATTCCTTCCAGGCCCCCCTTTTCTGCTCAACTTGATAACTGAAACTTTTAGAAGATCCACCGCAGTTTAGTTTCATTATCTCTTCACCACTTTCCCAGGAACAGCTGCAGGACTTGCTTCTCCCTGTTTATATAAAGAACAAGCACTGCATCCCAGCTAACGCAATGCTCCAACTTTGAAACACACCAAACCCAGCAGAGCCTGTAAGCTCCCATTGGCAGGAAGAGCCAGCCTAAAAGCACGCGGGAAGAATGGGCTAGTGGAGTTGAGGGGCTAGGAGGACGGGGAGAGGATGATCTGGGTTCTATGTGGTATGGTAGTCCTCCTGGGAGAGCATTCAAGGCCCGTGTGGACCCGACCCCTGGAACATTTGGGGGGCATAAGGGTGGGAAGCCTCTGAGCCCGTCTCAGCCACCCATGGAGGGGAGAGAGGAAAGGAAGGCCTGGTTCTCTTGCGACTCGGAGGAGGGGAGGGGAGGGCTTCCCTTGTAGGCAGTGACTGAGTGAAAAGTGAGTCTGTATGGCAACCTGAGTGTGTAAGAAGGTAACAGCTTGCGAAGGGAACGGTTCTTAGCTGGAAGAGAACTGTGGCCTCAGAGCAAAGAATGACCCGTTTCTGCCTGATATTCTGGATCTTGGGCAAATTCGCTGGTTTCCCAGCATCATCAGTTGTCTTTCTAGGTCAGTGGTTCTCAACCTTTTTATTGCCGCGACCCCCAACCGGTCGTAAGTCGACGACTACTCAACCGGTCGTAAGTTGAGGACTACTCAACTGGTGCAGCATCGTTTGCAGAATGGGACTTTTGGCGGGCTCAGCAGGGCAGAGACAGCCTGGACAATTCCTATTGGCTTTTGAAAGCCAATAGAATTAGACTCTATTCAAGAGAGTCTATTCTATTGGCTTTCAAAAGTCAAGAGAATAAAAGGGAGTAGCACAGCTAAGGAAAAGGGGAAAAAAATGGCGGACTGCGTTGTTTGGCGACCCCAGTGAAATGGTCGTTCGACCCCAAATGGGGTCCCGACCCAAAGGTTGAGAACCACTGTTCTAGGTATTTTGAGCATGCTGGTGCTTTTTTTCCTGTCTTTGTTTTGAATGAACATTTCACATTCTCAACATTTTCAAAATTCCATATTCATCCATTCTCATATCTCTGGCACCACAACTTCACACAACCTGCTTGCAGGCTAATACACCTACAAAGAATCATAAAAGGCAATAGCACCAGCACTTAGATTTATATACCAATGCTCCAACATTGGAAGCTTTAAGAAGAGATTGGATAACCTTTTGTCTGAAATGGTATAGAGTTTCCTGCCTGAGCAGGGGGTTGGACTAGATGACCTCCTAGGTCCCTCCCAACTCTGTTATTCTGTTACCACTTCATAATGTTTTACAGCATCATCTGAAGGGCTTTCAAAATATTTTAGAATACATGCATGTTTAGGGTTTTTTTTTGAAAAATAATTTATTTGTATTATATAAATATTCCTCTAATATATAATATAGAAACCTGTAAAATGAAGCCTTTTATATTAAGATGATGAAAGAATGTTAGGATTTATACTTTATTAAATATATATTTCATCCAAAACCTGTCCTTGCATCTCTCCCTGCTAAAATATAGCATCCTGCAATTTCAAAATTTCTTAGAAATGCAGCATTCCTATTCATAAGAGTTTATTTTATTAAAAAGTAGTCTCAGATGCCAGCAACTTTTCAATTACAATCTGTGAGTCAGTCAAAGTTCCTACTCATACCATAGTTTTAGACACTTATGTAACATTTTAAAATTTGGTATTTTAAGGATTGAAAGTGACAGTTGAAAGATTTTGTGAGCTACATAGATTTATACTGCATATTCCTATCAGTATATTCATTTACAAAACAATTAAAGAATTTACACATATTATGCCCTGCCCCAATGTAAACACTAGTAATTATATTGTGTACAACTCCAGTATTAATTGTGTCAGTTGGCCTCTTTGGCTGCAGCACATGATGAACAATATGTGGATATGACAGATTGTTAAGAACATCACTAAACGTTGCCCTTCTTTCTGTATCAATCACCTCCAAACCAATCAACCACATTCTATAATTTTGTAAAATTGTACTGTATGATTGTTTTACTTCACACTGCCCTGTGTCATCAGAGTTAAGCCGTCTTACAAATTTCAGTAATGGTGATGATGATAACAGCATTCTGCATGATACATCTTGTGTTTATGGACTTTGCCTCGGTCTGCCCTGGCCAGCTGCAGATCCTTCACTCTGGAATAGCATCGGATCATTTACTGACACTTTCGAACCCCGTTTTCTCGGTTGGTCACAACAGAGAAAAAAAGAGAGCATAATCTTAACTATTATTTTTTTGAATCTCAATATTAAGGGGGAAAAAAACTTATTAAAAAGTCAGTCACCAGAGCAGAGAATTTACTATTTGTAAACAAGCATTTGTGTTAGTGGAGAAAAGACAGGCTGCTATATAACCAGCAAAAGGTAAATAAATAAAAGCCTCTGTAGGTCTCATCACAGTAACTGAAACATATTGCAAATAACGATTAGTTAACGCCACATCGCAAATTTCTTAGTGAAACACTAAAAAAAAATAAGAAAAAAGTACAACTGGTGTAACAAGCATGTAAAAAATTGCACCATATTACATGGCATGTATCATGTTATCAAAAGGGGTGGGACTAACTACATCAAATAACTTATTTTGTTCCAGGTTGACTACTTTTACAGATAGCATATTGTCTCAATAAAATAACCTATAAACATAACTCTCATCCAGAGCCTACAGAACAATATTCTTCTGCCATGAAACTGCAAAGGAGCCGTGGTGGCGCAGTGGTTAGAATGCAGGATTGCAGGCTAACTCACTGCTCACTGCCAGCAGTTCAATCCTGACGAGGTTCAGGGTTGACTCAGCCTTCTATCCTTCTGAGGTTGGCAAAATGAGGACCCAGATTGTTCTGGGAAATATGCTGACTCTAAACTGCTTAGAGAGGGCTATACAAGTTTAAGTGCTGTTGCCATTTAAATGGTAGATTCAAGTCAGAAGACCAACACCAGTTTCCCTTTCTAAAACCAGTTGTCCTAATGTTGAAGAGTGGAGATATTTTCAAGCAACCAAACTGGCTTAAGCTGCTGTTGTCAAAAGAAAGCAGGATCCTTATCTCTGGTTTTGACCAAAAGATTTCCTTGTCAACAAACTTACTTAATTACCTTGTAAGTACACAGACATAACGATGGAATTAAGTCCGACTCAAATGAAAACTATTAAATGTATATGCTGCCCAAATCACCTCTAAATTACCATGTAAAGTTTTATTTCCAGGCCAAACCTGGACCAATGTATATCGGTCAAGAGAAGGATAAAGCTGACATTTGTGCCCAATTAGAATGATATATGAAATAAAATTTCACATGGAAAATTAATTTTAATGGATCTGTAGGGCACCTTTTCTTAAATTCCTCTGGAAAAAACAGCAAGTATTTTAAAAAGAACTTTCCTTACACAGAGATTATTTAAATTCAGTTTGTTATAAGCAGAAATAACCTTAAAGAGGTTCTTTTAAGTCTCCCTGCAGATACCTTTACATTTCCATAGAAATAATATTCCATATCAACTTGCCCTATCTTTTTTTACATATGATGGCAAACAGAGCAAGGAGAACAAAGCAATTTATCCCAGAGAAACAAAAGCCCAATAGCTGGAATTTTAGGAGAAAATAAAAAGGGGCCTATAAAACTCACAGTACAGAAAAAAACAGCAAATATTTTCAGAAAGAAACACAAAGAAGTAATTTATATATAGAGAGAACAGTTTTACTCTTCAAAACCCCAACAAGTATGCAACAAAATAAAATTAATTTAACAGGTAATAATACAAAATAAGCTATTAATTACACCATGAGAATTAAATCACGTATAAGCTGTCAACTACCGCCTACATCTGGCTAGACAAGAAAAAGAATTTCGTTTCAAGAGCAGATTCTTCCAGAACCTTCACAATGGATGTGAATGTGCAGAGCCCCAAAAGCCCAGCTTGTGCCCTACCTTACTAAATAAATAGCTTCCCCGTTTTGTAATTAAAAAGCCAGAACTCGCAGAGACACCCACGGCCCTTTTCACAAGTCCTTCTATAAGAGAGGCCATCCCTGCGGGACACGGGGTGGGATGCCAGATCCGATGCAGCTGAAATCCTTTCGGACGACCAGGCTCCACGCGGAGGTCAGAAGTTGAACTCTGTGTTTCATGTTTCCAGAATCAAAGCCTCCCAAACTCTGCCTCTCTACCCTTAACTGCTGACTAGTCTGGTGCAGCTTCTTTCCCCTCCTGCATTAAAGAGCGATCCCAGGTCTCTTGTGGCTCTTTCCTTGTCTTCTTCCACAAGGCCTTTTGAACCAATGCGCAGGGAGTGAAGAGACTGCACTGATTTGAACAACTAAAAACGGATGAAAAACTGAAAAAGACCATCTTTCTGCACCTGTTCCCTTTTAGTTTTTGGACAATAAGTGAAATTGGATAGCATTTCCCATCCCAAGAAAGCAAATATTTTGAAACTGTAACATAGTATTCTCTCCTAAAGAACTGTGGCCTGTTGATAAATCAGTTAACTCTAGATAGACAGTCTTTTCTTTTGTCAACAATCTCGATGGCCAGAATAGGATTACATTTAGCCATTCTCCTGACTGGAGGCTGACACAGAATCGGTAGAAAACAGAACTCAGCACGGAGATATCAGTAGTGCTCTTCAAAGAAATAGGAGTAAGAGCAGTTTGTGGTTTCCGACATGGAACCTGCCAGCCTTTTCACAGCATTCATTATAAATATCGGCAGAAGCAGAGCAAGAGGCAGGCAGGTTAACCACAGAGAGAGGTTTTCACTGAAAAGCAACAAAAACACCTTCATTCGGTTTTGTCGTCTTTGCTGAGAGCACCTTCACTATGGCGTAAAGGTGAGGATCATCCAACTGATGACAAAGTAGAAAAGGAAAATGGGGTAGACAACGAGAGCTTTGCGGTTTGGGGGTTGGCTGTCTGCCAGGAAAGCGGTAGAGGCTGGGAAAAGAAACAACAAAGACCTCATGTTGGAAAAACAGGCACCAGAAATACAACACGTCAAATAAAATCAGCCTCGCATCCATACCCACCAAAACCAGGGCTCCTTGCCAGCCCTCGCCTCTTCCCTCCCCAAGGGAGAGTACAAACTGCCACGCTTGCTTTTTGTGGAGTGGATCTGTCCCAGGAGAGACCTGCCCGGCCCTTTTACGGAGCTTGCTAAGATTGGCCAGGGTGGCCAGGGGGAAAACAGAAAGGCATCCCCTCCACAGCCATGGGAGCAGGGAGGAAAGGCTGGGCCTACCTGAAGTGTAGACTCCCCATGAGGATTCCTGACTTCTCAAAATCTAAGCCTGTCTACCTCATGGAATTAGCAAGAGCCAATTTGGGAAACAATAATCATTTATTTTGTATTTATTTGCATCCTGCCTTTATTATTTGTATAAATAAATCAAGGCAGCGAACATACCTAAAACATCTTCCTCCTCCTCCTCTTTTCCCCACATCAACCCTGTGAGGTGGGCTGGGCTGAGAGAGGGGGACTGGCCCAAGGTCACCTGAATTCACAATCTCCTGCTTCTAGCGGGCGCCTTAACCACTAGACCAACAGGGATAATCATTGCAAAAACCAAATATCAAGGCTGTAAATTAAGCTGGATAGCCGTTCAGCATGTTAATGGAATATTAATGCTTGTGTAATTTTAATTAATTTTGAAAACCAGTGTGATGTACTGATTAAAGGTGGATTAGTACTGAATAGATCCAGACTGAAGTCCCCCTCAGCCTTAGAAAGCTGAAGGGAGACCTAGGCCAGTCCCTCTCTTGGCCCAGCCTGCCTCACAGAGTGGCTATAGGAATAAAACGAGGTTCCTGTAGTAGGAGCCACCCTGAACTCATGCAGAAATGGCAGGATTATATATACAGTAAATACCTTTGTTTCCTTCAAAAATTTAACAACCAAGGAAAGGTTCCCAAAGCAAAAACAACAAAATGTTTTTAGAATAAGATATGTAAAACAATATGGATTGTTCTTATACCAGTGAGGTACCAGTCCGTTAAAATAAAAATCTCAACTTCTACTTAAAAAAAAAAAAATCAGCTTCACTTATTCTAATTGCAGCTGGAAGCAGCAATCTGCAAGGGGTTGTTGGGAACAAGCCTGAACTCAGCTCCTTTTCCCCTACTTGAAGCGGGGAAAGTGGAAATGCAAAGAAGGGCTCTGTGCCTCCTCCAGCCCCGCTTGGCCATCCAGGCAGACCTCAACCGAAGAAGCTGTTCATCCCTGATCCGTAGCACCCCCACTCTTTTGGACTGAAAGAGGGAATTGTGCTTCTAAAATTAAACAAGTGAAATGGGATGGAAATATGTATACAAAATCATAACCCGGATAACCTAATTGATACTAATAGAAAGCAAGCAGGGTATACATTTCATTCCTTTTATTATTCAATTAATATTAACATATTAATTAGAGAGTGCTTGCACTTAAAGCGGTATATAAGTCTCAAAAATAAATAAATAAATAAATATTTACTCATATCAAGAAATATAAATAAACCCCAAAGTCCATAGAATTCTTGATCCCAGCAAACAATTCTGCCCAGGACAAGGATCTTTTTTGGAAACAAAGCCTCAAGGGCAATAGTGTTAAAAATCAGGTGTCTGGTACCATCTTCCCGCCCCCCCCCCCCCAAAAGGATGCCCTGAGAACTTCAAGTCTATTTCGGAAGGTGGAATGCTCTGGTATTACTTTATCCTTATTCTGAGTCCTCATGTCAAGCTTTTGTTCATTAATTCTTTTATGCAAAGTTTGTCCTGGCAGCCTTGGCATTCTCTGAGCTTGGCTGTCTCCTTGCAGACTTTGGATTTTTCAACTAAGTAACACCATCAGTTCGAACAAATGTGGGATTTTCTGCCTCAATATATAAAGTAGCTTGCCCTGCCAGTTTTTGTGGGGATCTGATTTCTTTCTTGGTGTTCTGTGATTGTTTCCTTCCTCACTGCTTGTCTGTAATCTGCATAACCAACCACCTTCCCCTCATTTCTGCACATCTACCACACCCCAATCTAAGTCATCTACTTCATGCATTTGATGAAGGGAATTATAGCCCTCAAAAGTACGTGCCTTTTAATAACGTTAGCCAGGAAAGGTGCTCTTTCCAATTTCTAGCTATTATAAACTAACATGGCGCTCCTCCTACTCTGCATATGCTATAGAGTTAGTGAACTAATTTTCTGTTACTCCTGTTTTTTTAAACAAATCGTGTAATGCATTCCACAAAATTCTGTCAACACAAGTGCTGGGATTATGGTATGCAGATGAACTCAAGGAGGACCCAGTGGCTGCTTTCCATTTCCAACTTACCTAAAGTTGACCAGCCAAACATTGTTACCACAACTAAAAGACGCACAATGAAGCCAGCAGTCCCACTGTTTGCTATCAGTACAAGCCTGCACACTAAAAGAGCCACGGTGAGTGGCAGGATGCAGTAGCCCAGGACACAAAGGCTCTGAAAGAAAGATCTGGCAAAAAAGAGAGAAGTCTTGATAAATGATAATGTGCAGAGATGGGAGAGAAAAAAGGGTAGAGAACTACAGAACTACAGCCAGACAAAATGGGCCCTAAACTGTCTGCTATCCACCTGCCTGTCATTAAAAGATTTTAGGAAGCTTTACAAAGTCAATTGATTTAGCTTTCTCCTTGATGAGCAAGCTAGAAGCAGGAAAATAAAGGCTGTTTTAAAAATTAAGATGTTTAAATTAACATGATGTAGGCTGTTTAAAAGCACTCTGCATTCCGGTTAAAAGGGCAGGATCCTTAGCCACATGCACGCCCCAACTTACATCTTTTGGGCTTCCAGAGCCCCTGCTCTCAAGAGCAAGCTACTGATCCATTGTTGCTCTTTTAAATAACAATAGTGTTATTTGCTTTAAATAAGGCCCAAACAGTAATTCTGAATTCAAAAATTCTGAATAAAAACAGTCTACTTCCCAAGACCAGAAACTGCCCCAGTCAGGTATGCCATTTTATCATCCCAAAGCAAAAATTGTCTGTCCCTGAATTAAAGCAACAGGTCATCTGGAGAATCCCCAAGGGAGTCAAACTCTTCCCCCACCCCAGAAGACAGCTCTACAGGTATCTTACATGGTTCCTCCAAGGAGCTTGGAATTTAGTGTTATGACAACTGCTCCAAACCAGATGATAACAAAGACTTCTGCAAACTGAGGGCCTCTGTCTTCTGTACTATCTGCTGCTCCTCCCTGAAGCATTCTAAAGAAGAGAAATGGATTAGGACAAAACAGCAGAGCCTCTTTTCTGATTTATTGTTTCTCTTTCCCATTTCAAAATGTGTCAGTGCCTATAAGCTAGGATTGGGACAACCCATTGCAACTAAACTGAATTATCCTGGCATAAGTTATCTAGACACCTAAGAATGTTTTAGCAATCTGGTCGAACAATGGTATAATCTTTATTTACTATTGTGACACTTTATTTTTCTTCATGATAGTCTGAGTATCCTTCTCAGACAAAAAATATGGAAGTATTTAATAAAAACTGTGGCAGAAGCCTGCTTCACTTGATTGTCCCATCCCCTGGACTAAGGCCAATTAGCATAGAAGAAGCTTAAAAATCGGTGGGTTTATAAAAGAAAGGTGGGTTATAAGATCTGTAATTAAAATGTTCAGCACAGGAAGAATGAAGTGCAGGCTCTTATGCAACGTAGAGATTTCAATATTCATATGCATGTTTATTAAATCAAGCCCATACATTTGGTTCTTGGAATGGTGCTCCCTCAGAATTTGTAGTATGAACAACTGCTGCGTTGCATTTATATTTTGCCAGTGAACAACACAATTTTAGAGCATTAAGGTGGGGGGAGAGGAAATAATATAAATACTTACAGTGCAAGTAAAACACATAGGATTAATGGGCCCCATAAATCCCCTGCAAATAAATAAATCATACAGATAATTTTTACAAGGGAATGCAAAATTTATAACCCCAAATGGTTATTTTTAAAGTTCTCCCTCCCTCTTGTGTATACTTTATTTTGAGGCAAATATGCTTTCACAGAATTTAACACAGTTTAAGGTTTTCAACATTACTTCTGGCACCTACAGTCTCTGAGGAGGGCACTGCTCTTTTTGGGATACATGACATGGACAAATTTCTTTCCAACTGCTTTTAAATCTCGCATCTGAAAAATTCAATGAAAGTTCAGTCAAAAACAAATTTAGATGAGATACATTTACATAAATTATAGCAATGCTAACTGCCACGATTGAATTGAATTTCTCTTTTCTTGCTTCTAGTACTGGTAAAAAAAATAATTTAAACATACAGATACCAATTTCCCCAAATCTGGGGATTTCACTACCCAGCTTCTTATTCAATCTTGCAAACTGATTAATTAAAAATAGGATTGATACCTCAAATGACTTTTAAACTACAGTAATTAACAATATGCAAATACATCTTCAAACTCAATACAATATTCTAAGAAGTCCCAGTTCTGAAAGCTTGAGATTTCTTGGAATATTGTACTGAGTTTGAAAGTGATTGTACAAAAATTAACTGTAACCAGGATAACTGTAATCTGGCACAAAGCAACTGAAGCTCTTTTTTAATGGCTTCATTAACATTGCCACAATAAATTGATTTATCAAAATCATCCAATGTTGATATCCTTGGATGTCTTATTTTTGCACTTTATTGCCAAGTACACCAAGAGAAATCTGATGGAAATCTCTTCCCTTCACCAAGACCAGTGGTTCTCAACCTGTGGGTCGGGACCCCATTTGGGGTCGAACGACCATTTCATGGGGGTCGCCAAACAACAGTCTGCCATTTTTCCCCCCTTTTCCTTAGCTCCGCTACTCCCTTTTATTCTATTGGCTTTTGAAAGCCAATAGAATAGACTTTCTTGAATAGAGTTTACTTCTATTGGCTTTCAAAAGCCAATAGGAATTGTCCAGGCTGTCTGCCCTGCTGAGCCCGCCAAAAGTCCCATTCTGCAAACGGTGCTGCAAGTTGTCTGCAGTGAAGGCAAGCTGTCTGGAAGCTTCCACCCCTCCCTGCTGAGCAACTACTAAAACTGTAAGTAAAAGAGGGTCAGGGGTGGGAGGCGGGAGGCCGACGGGCGCAGGGAGGGTTGCTGGCACGCGTGGGGCCCAGCGGGTGCCTTACCTCCCTTGGGCTGGGCCAGCTGGTGGCCCAGCCGGTGGTCGGCCTGCGCCATCTCTGCCGCTTGCCAGCTACACCTCAGCCGGTGCAGGGGGCGGCACCACGCATGCGTGGCGTTCCCAGGCAGGGAAAATCCTTGACTTATGACCGGTTGGGTAGTCCCCGACTTACGACCGGTTGGGGGTCACGGTATTAAAAAGGTTGAGAACCACTGACCAAGACACTTACAACTGTCTCTTTTACTGGCTCATCTAATGTGGAATAGTCTTCGTCTGGGGTATTAGATCCCACAGGAACAGTAATTTCTCCTTCTACAGGGATGTCTTCTGATATTGACACATCTGCAAGACCTGCAAACTGTTTATACAAGATTTAAAAACATTTACTCAACTATATCTAACCAAACAATTAATAAATAGTACAGGAGTATTTGCATTTGGAAATATTTTGTACATGATCAATCCCAGATAATGGGAAATATAACCAGAAGTATGCAGAATATCTTGACATTTAAGCATCCCAAACATGAAGTATCCTGAAGTGACTTGACAGTTGGAATGGATGTAAAACAAGTCTGAATCCTGATGGTAAGGTCGTTACAGCCATTCTGGTATCAGAATGCTTTGATTTCAATATGATATTACGCATTTCTTACTTTCATATCTGAATTCAGATATTTACTCTCACCCGCATATTACAGAGAGGGATATGAATAGGTCAAGCAAGATTTTGGGGAGATGAATTACAATATCTCAGAATTAGATACGTTGAATCTTAACGTCCTATTCAGAAAGTTCTGTGCGCTGCTAGACTGTTCTCCAACTAATTTATCCAAGATAGAAGGAAACCGCCTTTTCAACGCTATTCAAACAGAACCTAAAACGGCGGAGGGGAGAGAAGGCGGAACCTCAGCCTCCCAACCAGCCGCTTCCAGCCCCACAAGACCCGCACCACCCAATCAGCGGGGCTGCCCCTCGGGGGCTCGGACGGGGCTTCACGGCAGGCGCTTGTCCGGAGCGATGGCGCCGCAAGGCCGGGCTCTCCGCCTGGCCGCCCGGGGCCACGCTGGGACCGGTTCGTGCTCGGAACGGCCTGCAGCTTCACGGCCCTCGTCGCCCCTCTTCCTACCAGCGGCTTCGCGGCTCCGTCGCCCACCGCCACCTCTCCGTCCGCCGCCGCCGCCGCCGCCATCTCGATCCGCGGCTGTGGACCGGCGACGTGGAGATAGCGTCATCATCGCGCGACGGCGCCGAGATGACGTCACTCGACGGGGGTCCTCCCGACGCACGGCCAGGAGGCGGCCCCGGGGGCGGGGCATGACGTCACGCAAAGTCCAGGGGAATCCGGGGATTCCCCGCGTTTGGGCGCCAGAAAGGCCTCCCCAGTCGGCCTGGCTACCGCAGCGCAGCCCTCAGGCCCAGCTGCGAGCCGGGCAGCCGTTCAGGGCCCCGCGCAGTCCGTGCCGCCCAGGACGAGGCTAGAAAGCCCCCCCCCCGCTTCGCTAGGGCAGGTAGTCCTCGATTTACGACCACGATCGATGCCAACATTTTCATTGCTAAGCAAGGCAGATACTGGCATTTGCCCCACTTTACGACCTTTTTGCCACGTTAAACGAATCACATTGCCATTAAGCGAATCCGGCTACTTCCATTGACAGCTGGGAATCGCAGCTGATCAGACTTTGGTCCCCTGACCAGGGAATGCTGCTGCGAGCCTAAGTCACTGAAGGGTTTTCAATCGAGAACTACCTGCAAGATAGTTAATGTGAGACACAGCAGGGAAAGTGTTTACAGGAGACACACTTTTATTTCTTTCCACGCAAGTACAAAATGCTTCACATGGATAATTGTTTATATTCAAAATAAAGATTCCCCAAATCACTATTAAAATAGTGGCATTTAAAATGACAGGAAAATCAATGCAGAACTTCACATACAAAAAAATACATGAGGTACTTTCCCCTCAAAATAAATAAATGCAAAGAAGCAGGAACTCTGACTTCCCAAAGATGTCCCTACCTTTTCCCTGTTTTGGAAACAACTTCCTTTTAAAAATAAAAGTTTCCATCATCAGTTGAGGTTTATTAAAAATGAAAACTAAAACTAAGAATATATAAATCCCAATACTTTAAAATGCTTCTATTTCCAGCCTGGTAAGAATATTTTTGATAGTGTGAAAATAATACAACTCTTTTTAAACCTGAGCTCTGATATCCTTTGCCTGCCTACAGTTCTCCAGTGCTGTTGGCTGGGAAAAGCAAACACCAGGCACAAATTTTTAAGCTGTTCTGTGACTGAACTTTCAAAAATCTATTTATTCCAAAGCTATAAATCAACAATATTTTACTTTGTTAAAAACAAGCATTGAGAGTGAGATTAAAAAAAATGGTGGCCTCTTTTACAGGAGATTTTCAAAACAGGAAAAACAGATTTCATTCAGCAGTGATTCTTCCACTGTAGAGTTGCAAAACAAATTCTCATTGCTTAAAAAAACATTCACTTCTTAAGAGAGTCTGTATTTATCACTATAGTAGTCTTCTATACACTAATCATTTATACCCAATATAAAACAAAGTACAGAAAGTAGTTTTGAAATGCAATTGTTGTTTTTCACATTATTCAGGCAGGGCAGCTGGCAGTAAGATCTTCACAACTTTGTAGATTGCAGCACATTGATGCCAAGCAGAAACGCAAGGGCTGGTAATAACAGTGCAGCAATAAGATTCCTTTTGTACATGAATCTGAAGGATCCATTTCTATTTACAACATTTCTATTTGTACAAGATTAGAGGCTTCAGATGGTATCTGATGGCAACTTCCTCACATCGGTCTCCTTGACTCACAAAGAGTACACAGCCTAGTTTTGGATGAATTATTTTACATGGTGGTTGTAGACCACTCTGCACCCTCAGCCTCTGGTTAGATCTTACATAAATCAATCTACCAAGCAACTATAGAATGCTTTCAGGCGATCTCTATGCCTTAGGCATGTCAAACTGCTGGCCCACGGGCCGGATGCGTCATGCCAAGACCGCACCCACCCCATTGCCGGCAATGGGGAAAAAGTCACAATATGTTGCGTGACATCACACGACATCGCAAATTTGACATGCCTGCTATAACTCCTAAAAGGAATGGCCTCACCCCTGAATATGCGAGATGGTTCCTAAACTTAGGATAACATATAAAATACAAATGTGAGGCTTTAAGAGCAATTAATTAGAGATACACCAGGGTTATTATTCTGGTTAAAATAGAAGATGTATCTTTTCTAAACTTGCTTTAGCCAACAGAATGTCATTCACAAAATAATCACAACAAAATTTTCCAAAGAAAATTCCTATTCAATAATCATTAAAAATAACTTGTATATTTTGTAAGATCAGTGAAGTAAATCACTATAAGGACCCCTAAATGATAGGCTTATATTTGTGTTTACTCAAAGATTCCCATGACACTTGATCACACAAATGCAATGACAATGACAGCTGAATTTTGACAATCTGCTGCATATCTGCTTAATGACTGCAGAGAAGCCTGAATTTTTAGTTACCAACTGCAGTCTCATATAATCTATGAGAACCCAGTCAACCAATTCACCAATTGTGTCTGCATTTCAGGCAAATGTGGCAATGATGATGTAAGAAAGAGCAATTTAACTAACCCAAAGTCATTATAATTATTAAATGAGATGAGATATTGAAGCTTTATAGTCTATTACAAAAAAAGGTCTGTACCAGAGACTCTCTGAAATGTTACAGTAAAATTGCATTCATCAGAAGGAGTTCCTGTGGCAGTTCAAGTCAACAACCAGCAACAGCCACAGCATATTAGCTGAAAGAAAAGCCATACATTTGGCTGAGTACTTATTGTCTTAATAGTCAGGTCCAAAATACAATTGCCCCAATTGGCAATTCAAAGCCGTCCTGATCCCTCCTATCTTAAACCCACAATGACCACACAAAACGCTTTCAGCATATTATACAAGAAACACACCTTTCCATTTCTGATTGGCAGGAGATCCCCAGATACATCTTTATATTCGTGACAGAGTTATCATTACCAAGCCAGGATGGTGAACTGCTAGGGTGCCTCCAGGCTCAGATAATTAAATACTAACCATGTAGGAAACAATGTCCAGATCCAAGGAAGCCTGGTTAAGGATGACTCAATAAGGCAATCTTGGCCTGCTGCCTTCCTTCAGTGGTTTTCAAAACTACAGGCAGTCCCCATGGCTCCCAGCCTCCCCCCCCTTGCAACACAATGGCTTTGCTTTCAATGTGCACAAGACAGAAAGCAGGAACTTGTGAGTGTTCCAAAGGTGGTGACAGTGGGGGGGGGGGGGAGGAGAGAATGTTTAGGAGGCATACAAAAGCCAAAAGGTGTGAAACTGAGTAGTTTTGTCTCTTCCCAGCCTGAAAGCACAGTCCCGGTCATGTGATTTTCCTTTTAGCGACTGCTTTGCTGAGCAGCAGACTTGTCAGTCCCAATTAGGGTTATTAAGTCAGGACTATCTTTGTTTATATAGGGAACTGAATTCTGGAACTGACAACATAAAGATGGATTGTCAGATACATCCCTGAAATGACAAAGCCGCATCTGAGAAGGAAGGCGGGCATTTCAGACGGACCTTTTACCATGCACAAAGACAAGGAAAGAACACTGAATGAACTGCCAAACTACGAGTGGAGATACTCCTCTAGAACCAATGGAAAATACATAATACTCAGAGCTTCTGGATTTTAAAAAAATGTACAGTACCTTTTCTGCTACAACTCTATTCAAAGGGGAAACCAACAAGCGTGGTTAGAACCCTTTCCTGAAAGTGTCCAATAAAGAGGGAAGGGGCAGCGTTTGACGTTTGCTGAAGAGCTCAGCTCAGAAGGATCAAGGCAGATGTTGAAAACAGCCATGTTGAAATTATTATAAATGTCCAGAGCAAAAAGAACACCTCAAATCTACAGCAATGTAAGATAGTTTTTTCAGGGATTACTGGAATATTATAACTTCCCTCCATGCCCTGAAAATAAACCACATTTTTAACAATGAACAAAACAACCCACTTAAGTTCCACAGTTTTCAAGTACAGGAACTCCATTGTGAGGAGCCAAATGGTAACCAATGGGAGAAACCAGGAGATGGACATGGAGTGCTCGGAAGCTCTCCTCCGACTCTGCAACCTTCTTGCAAAGCTGATCAGAAGGTGAATTTCATGGAGAAATCAAGCAGACACATGATAGTCCAGGTCTCTCCTTGGATTTCTTTTCTCCCCTGATCCATAAGTAAACTCTTTTTGCTCTGTTTAAGATTTTACTCTAAGAGACAAGGCTTGGATGGGCCGTTCGGTTGTTACAAGTCTTCTCATAGACGAGTAGAAAACATTCTAGAGTCGGACATTATGGGCTGAAGTCCCAATAAATCAGTCACAAAGCCAAAAAGCATCAAAATGCTGAATCTTCTGCAGAGCTTTACGCTGAGAAGACAACAGGAAGACGTTCTTCCAAAACTGGCCTGGAAGTCAATAAGCTTTTGTAGTCTTGATGTCTGGCTCAGTGCCAGCCTTCTGCATCAGTCAGTGGGGATGGGCCGACCTCTTCAGTTTGGGGTGCGGCTGGATGGCATTAAAGAGAAGACAGCCTGACAATGCCACAAAATCCACATGGAAGGCAGAGTCTCTTTAGCTCGACCAATGTTGCCAGTGCCACAACATCCATGTGAAGAGTAGCAAGGGCTGAAGTGTACAAAAGAGAGGAGAGAGTGAAACTGTAAATATTCAACGTGGTGGCTGCTCCAGAGAAACACTGCTAGAGGAACTTTGCAGGAGTTCTCCACTTTCTAGTGTCGGGTTTTGGAAGGAGGAACACGGGACCGAAGCCGCTTCCAGAGAGAGCCCAGGCTGGGCTGCTGGACAGGCAGACCAGGGGGGCACTTCAGGTGACAGTGTCTGCTTGCCTGGGGTTTCGGTCTTGGCCGTCCCCTTCCCTGCCCAGGCAGAGAAGGCCTGCAGATCCAGCTCAGTGCATTCCACCGGGGTGTGAGGCCAGCAATGCTGTGATTCCCTGGCGCAGGAAGAGGGCTGGGCTGGGCCATCAGGGCCTCTGCTGCGGACCTCTCTGCACTCGGAAAAACCCCCAGGGAAGGAGTAGCTTTGGAGCCCAGAAGCCCCCATCACGGGCCGCGTCTCCAAGGGGCTCCTGGCTGGAGGGTTCTTGGAAGTGACTATCATCAGTCTGGACGAATCCATATCAGGCTGTGGATGGGGGAGGTGAGATCCAGAAACGTCCACACCTGGGATCAACTGAAGAGCTCTGACAGGGCCTGAAATCAGAAAAAACTAGTTAAGATTGCCGGTTTCTCCAATCCATTCAAATGAAGATGGAAAGTCCTACAACTGCTTGCTCAACTCATGGAAAAGGAAGGTCACAGCCACAAAAGACAGCCATGCAACACTTCAGATTTGAAAACAAAAAAGCAACCACGTCTTTCCTGGGATGGTGCAGCTGCCCCCCCCCCCAAGCATCTCTTTTGCCTTCAGGTTCAAAGTACGGCACTCCCTAAGCCTTGCAAAAAAATGAAAATGATCAGTTTCAATTGAAAATTGAAATTGATCAAAAGATATGATACCTATAACAAAGCGTTATGGAAAATAAAAACCACAAACGCATTGGGCAGGCAATTATAAAGCAGCTTGAAATCAACAAGTTCTTCATTTTTATTCTACAACCTTCACTGTTGATATCACAATACCTCCTGTTGTAAGCTGCCCAGTGGCGTTGGATACGAGATGGGTGGCAAATAATTGTCATATTAAATAAATAAAACACCCCAGAGGAGGAGGAAAGCCCCCTTTTCCTCTGACTAAAACGTCATCAGCCCAGAAGACCGACCACCTGAACAGCCCCCTGCTGGGCCCCTCCTTCTCTCCGGGCCAGAAGGACCCAATTCCACCCAGGAGGCTTCCGGAAGGCCAGAGGGAGCCAAAGGCAGACCTGAAACGGGGGCGAAACCTCCAAATATCTGAGGAGGCTGGAGAGCCCTCAGGAGGCCCATCGTTCCCCTTTGTTCCTCCTTAACAAGTAGTACAGAAGGCCCTTGACTTACGATCACAACTGAGCCCCAAATTTCTGTTGTTAAGTGAGACATTTGTTCACTAAGTTTTGCTCCATTTTATGACCTTTCTTACCACAGTTAAATGAATGACTGCAGTTGGTAAGTTAGTAATCCGGCTGTTACGAGAATTTGGCTTCCTCATTGACTTTGCTTGTCAAAAGGTCACAAAAGGGGGATCACAGGACCCTGGGACACTGCAACCGTCATAAGTATGTGTCAGTTGCCAAGCACCCAAATTATGATCTCGTGACCATGGGGATGCCACAACAGTCATGAGCGTGAAAAATGGTCATAAATTACTTTTTTCAGTGCCGTTGTAACTTTGAACAGTCACTAAATGAACTGTTGTAAGTTGAGGACTGCCTGTGATGTATAATGTTAAGAGGAGTGAATTATGTTTACACCTAATTAAGCTGAATCATAAAATGCAAAATATTTTGCACACAAGATGTGAACATGCTTGGCTTGTCTTCCATCCCAGCATGTCTGCAGATGTCCTAGTAAGCCTGGGCAGATGACAGTTTTGAACCTGTTCTGCAGATCAAAGCATTATCTCCCCTCCCCCTCTTATGGAATTGACATTTGAATTCCAAACATGGGAAGTGCCTTCTGAAGATGTGTGTGCTCCTCTTCCAACAAACAAAGGAGCATCAGGCTTCTATGCAAAGCGCTCGAGGACTCATTGTTGAGTCTCATAGAACATCTCCTCAAGGTTCACTGGGCGATTTTGTAGATTTCCAGCTCACAGCATGGTAAGGACACAAGAAAGAGGCTCTGAATGGACACAGACTTCATCTTGTTACTCTGTGAAAACCACGAGAGAAAGTCACCTTCTGTGGATCTGTAGGGAGACTTGAAGTTCTTGACGTCCAAGGAGCAAGCATCTGGCGGCAGTTCATGGAAACCAGTCAGCCCAGATGTCCGAAGTGTCCCTCTCTGACCAGAGACAGTCTGACTTTTCAAAAACACTTTAAAAACATACAGAGAAAGAGAAGAAGAAACATGAGTTTACACACCTTGCAAAAAAAATCTGTAGAGCTTTTTGGGATTGTTCATAACTGAATGACGTTTTATAAACATGCTTGTTGTTTTAATCTGTCCACTGAATGCCTATACTGTATATAGATAGATACACTTTCATAAAGATTTGTGCACAGGCCAGGATGGGAGGGAGTGGGGGAAAATCTCAGGGGTGCAGGGACAGGTCATGTAAGAGATATGCCAGCAAATGGGTTGGGCTGCTCTTGGGGAACACCCCATAGTTATATGGCTTCAATGGCACATTGCCAGATCTTTAAGGTTTTCAATTGTTGCTGGAGAATGCCAGGTCAGTCTATAACAAGGCTGCCTTCATCAAGGATGAGAGGGCCAACCTGGCATATATACCAAAAACTGGCTAGATCTGGAGGGCTGCTGGGACCAGATCTGGCTCAAGTTATCTGGGAAGAATTTGATCCCATTTGGCTTGAGGGAAATGGACAGGGTCCTTGCGCTGTTAGCTCAATCATCTCTGTATCATCCATCTCCCTCATGGATGTTCAGGGCTACCTGGGAAGGGACATGTGGTTGGGGTTTGGAGGTGATTAATTCTTCTTTGAAAAAGCAGACCTTCTGTCAAGGAGACAGCAGTTCGTCCCCTCAAGAAGCCATTGCTAGACTTCACTGTCCTGGACAACTTCCAACCATCCCTTTTTAGGAAAATTGTAGAGATGGTAATAGCACTGGAACTTCACAGCATCAACCTAGATCGGACGACCTGACTAGCGGTGACATGATAGCATTCCAATATTTGAGGGGCTGCCACAAAGATGAGGGATTAGGTGTCAACCTATTCTCCAAAGCACCAGAAGGCAGAAGAAGAATCAATGGATGGAAACTAACCAAGGAGAGAAGCAACCTCGAACTAAGGAGAAATTTCATGACAGTGAGAACTTGTGACCTCTACATGCGGCTGCCCTTGAACACACCTGGAAGATTCAGCTGGTACAGAATGTGGTGGTACAGCCCGTTAATGCCATTGGGTTTGGGCACATGCGGCTTCCAATGTGCTTTCAGGTGCCATTCAAGGTAGTTGTGGTTACCCTTAAAGCCAATGAAGTTCAAGATTCAAAATGGTTTCTGATGTTCTTCTTGAAAATGGTGCCTGCATGTTGTGGAAACTGACTTTCTTCTTTAGCTCAGCTTAAGAGCTTGCGCATCAGCCATTTCCTGATCTATGCCACTGTCAGCACTTACCCACATTTTGGATAATATAACTGAGTTCTTCTCCTTATTCCTGTTAGCAATAAGTTAGCAATTTGATTTCTGTATATGCCATTTGCTGATGTCCAAGTTTAGTTGTTTGAAGACAGTGCTAGCTATGAAGAAATCACTGGCCTGGCAAACTGCTAAATCAGTCTCTGCTTCCTTTCATTTCCCTAAGCCATAAAATCCAACTGAATTTTCATCTTTCATGTTTCCAGCTTTTGGCATTCCAGTCTCCAATCACAAGCAGCACATCTTCCTTGTACTGTATGTCCTGTTGAGTTCAACCTGAACTTAATCTTCTGCATCAGTGGCTGGAACATGAACTGGAAAGATCATCTGCAAAGTCTAATTGATATTATTCTGTCACTGCCTGCATTATAGACAACTAGTCTTCTGGCTGTCTTCTTCCTAATTAGAACAACAACTTTGTTTTCATGTCCTGAGTAATGAACTATGTAATCTTCTGACTGAAAGTGTCTGATCCAAGTCCATCTCAATTTGCCAATGCCTACTACAGTATCAATCTGTGGTTGTTTCATTTCATCTTTCACTGGGTTGAGCTTTTCCATGTTCATGCTTCAAATGCTCTCTTTTCTCAGGGTAATTCACATTTTCTTTTCCTGCATGGCAACATCAGCAACCAGATGTCACATGAACTTTAATCCAGTCAAGCCATAAGAACTATTAGTGCTCCTAAAGATCCTCAGCTCTTTTTCAGTAGCTTGTTGATATTTATTTATGCAGAAATACTGAACATTCAAAAGGATTTGCAAGCTCTTAAGCCCCACTGTATAAAATTGGCAGTCGCTCCCAAGGGTACAAGAGCAGAGCACTGTACTTTCCTGGCCTGAGTCTAAATAAACAGTGACGGAACAATACCTTGTGCCTGCCTGCTGTCAGTCACCTGAGGTCTCCTCAATTGTCTGAGGGCCTGCAAAGTTTCCTGTGACACATCTTGAAACGGGTGAAGCCCTCGCTTGCTCTCTCCTAGTGTGGCAATTCACAGCTGAGTCAACAGGGTGGATTTTAATGATGCCAGTTCTGGTGCTACCCGAAAGCTTCATGTCAAAAGCAGAAACTTCAGTTCTTCTTCCTCAAGTTTCTCTCCTAGTTGACAGAAATGTTTTGACTGCTCCAATTTGCATGGATTCTCCAGAACTGGATTCAAAGGCAGCCATCAGGAAGGGGGACTACGGGAGATCAGGGGCTGCATTTCTCCCTTGCCTCAGCTATTCTAGTTGGCATCTGTTATTGTGCAACACTGGGACAGATCTTCCAAAGTATCTGGGCTGCCTCGTTTCACCAGTTTAGCTCTCAGCAAGTCCTTCTCTAAGCTGGTCAATTAAAGCCCAATCATTCCATCTGACATCTCTGGCCAATAATTTTAAACTCAGTATGTACACCCATATTTGACTCTGACCTTGCTTGGTTTTCAGATGTTATGGTTGGTGATCCACCATCTCATGGGATCACTGAAACACCTATGAATCTTTGCATTAAGTTTTTATAATTGTTCAGCATGGGGTCATTGACCTAAATGAGGGCATAAGCCATCTGGCCATCTCTCGTTTCAGCAAATTCTGCACAAATGTCACTTTGCTGCAATCTGTGGGAAACCCACACTGAGTCATGAAGGTCTAGAATTGGCCTTGGTCTTCTCCAAACCTCTCCAGTGACCCCCCCCCCAGGGGAATGCAGAGGTACTGCCTGTGCTGCAGGCGGCTGTGGTAAATTCTCTCCCAACTGTTGGGTTTTGTCAGAATCCAATTATATTTCATCTTTAAATTATCAAATATAGAAACTCCCAATTCTGCCTTCTCTGGATTCTGCCATAAGAGGGAGAGAAGGGGGAGAACAAAGGGGCTTTATGGTCCTCACTTCCTTCTTTACACTTCAAAGAGCGGAATGCTGAATGTGTGTTTATTGTAACCTCGAAGCGTTAGCATACCAAAGGAGGGTAGTTGCCTTTCATGTAGTTATCTGAAGTCCCCATCCAGACGGAAGAAAGAAGAAAGGGGGTGGAATTGTGATACTTGAAACTATCACTGGAAGGGGGGTTGATTGGGTGGGACTACTGGGGAACCCCTTAAAACCTTGAATGGAAGAGCTTGAACCCCAAGTCCTGTCTAGCATGCCTGCAACCATTTTCTCTTAATAAAGGATTCCTGTTGGAAGAATTATTCCAAGAGTTCTGTCTTCTTAAGATGCAAAGTGGGGTGGGTCCTTACATTAGACAGGACTTGCAAAATTAATCCATCTGGAAGGGAGACCCTTGCCGGGGGATTTTGCAAAATATTTACCATGTCAGACAATGGAGAAAGAGAGGGGGAAAACTCCCTGGAAAGAGAGCCGCTGACCCAGTTGGAACCTTGCCAGATGTTGGGATCTGAGAGGTCAGATTCCTCGGGAGAAGAAGTGGTGGAGACACAGGACCACAAGCCTCGCTGGTCGATGAACGTTGGAAAGAAAAGTGAGTGGAGAAAGGAATCAAGAAAGGTGACCCTGAGACGGGGGACCAAGCAACCAGAATGGAAGCAGGAGATGGAGAAATCCCTGCACGCAAGTGAAGAGGGAGGAAGCTGGGTACCGTACTCAGACTGGATCCTAGAGAAAGCTATTGACCTGATGAAGAGAACTCTCAGCTCCCTAGGAGAGGAGAATACTGAGCCCTACGGCCGCCCCAGTTCCTGGAGCCACAAAGGGAGAGACACCGAGGGGGACGTGGAACCTGCAACCCCAGGGACATCTACTGATCCAGGAGCCCCCACCCCCTACCGGACCACAGATGGCAATCTGGACGGAAGACACTACCACCCACAACGGAGGCACCGATCCATTCCAAGACGTCCACCGTTGGAGGTGAAATTCAAAGGGGAGCCAACACGCTTGGGGTTTTTCCTAACCCAAGTCCTCAGCTACATGGAGGAATATGGGCAGGACATTCCCAGCGACAAAGCCCGCATCCGGATCGTGCAATCTGCCCTGGATGGACCAGCTGCGGATTGGGTAGTGAACTTGCATGACTCCAATGCCCCAGAACTCAGTAACTTCAACCGTTTCATGTCCTCTTTGAGAAGACGATTTGAAGACCCCCTGGCTGATCGCAAAGCCCGTGAAAGAATAACAACGATGAGGCAAGGCAAACGCCCAGTGGCCGAGTATACACAAGAATTCCGGGCCATTGCCAGCAAACTGAATTGGCCAGAAGACATCCTCCTTGGCCATTTCAAAGACGGACTAAACTATGATCTATATGATGCTTGCCTGCCCCGAGGGGACCCACATCGACTTGAGGAATGGTACGTCTTGGCAGAGGAAGCAGAGATTGACATATTGAAGAGGCACCGCCGAAGAAAACAATGGAGCCGCCCCCCGCCTGAGCTGACACACCAACCGGTGAAATCATCGGATACAGCCAAGAAGCAAATGGGGTGTTTCAAGTGCGGAAGAGAAGGGCATCGAGCTGTAGAATGCCGCTCAAAGGCCCCCCAGCACAACCCAGACAGATCCCCAATCAACAAACCCAGAGGGTATTCAGCTAAGCCAAAAGAAACAGCCATGAAAATGATGGAAATTGCAGAAACCCCCACCTCTGCTCACCAAGGGGAAAGAACTCCAGCCTACACCACAGGGACGGTGGATGCCTCAGATGACAGCTCGGAGGGCGAACCCCTGGTAAGTGGACGCATCACACCCATCTTCAAAACAGTGACTATATTAATCCCCCCCATGCCCGAAGCTGTGAAGGTGAAAGCCTTAATAGACTCTGGCTGCACCCGCTGCCTCATTAGCCCAACACTAGTGGGGAATCTGGGCATCCCATCCAGGAGACTGGAACAACCAATCTCATTTGGCCAGCTAGATGGATCCATAGCAGGGGGGGTGCCAGCTACCCTAGCCACTTTGCCAATACATCTCTCCCTGGGCAACCATGAAGAGGACTTAACGTTTGTGGTGACCCCAGGTATGGAATGCCCAATGATTCTAGGGATGGAATGGTTGAAAAAATGGAACCCCTGGGTAAATTGGAGGACGACAGAAATCAAATTCCCGAAGGGGGACCCTATGGACTTAAAACCCCAAGGGAGGCTACCAGAATCAAGAATAGAAAAAGCATCCATAGGAGAGGAAAAAGGATTAACAGAAATACCAGAGGAATATAGGGACCTTGCTGAAGTCTTCAGTGAGGAGAGGGCGAATGAGCTTCCCCCCCACCGACCCACAGACTGTACCATTGAATTCAAGCCTGGGGCAAAACTCCCGAAGCCCAGATTATACTCCATGAGCCCAAAGGAGAAGGAGGAAATGGAAAGATTTATAAAAAAAAACCTGGAGAGAGGTTTCATTGAGCCAGCCAAGCCTAAAGTGGCTGCCCCGGTCCTTTTTAGAGAGAAGAAGGATGGCTCTTTACGTTTATGCGTGGATTATAGGGCCCTGAATACAATCAGTGAAAGCAACCTATACCCGCTGCCCCTCATGAAAGACATGCTGTCACACCTATCGAAAGGGAAAATTTTTTCTAAACTAGACTTAAGGGAAGCTTACTATCGCGTGAGAATCAAGGAAGGGGACGAATGGAAGACTGCATTTAACTGCCCCATGGGGTGCTATCAATTCAAAGTCTTGCCATTTGGATTACAAGGGGGCCCTGCAGTCTTTATGCAATTAATCAATGACGTTCTAAGGGAGCACCTGTTTAAGGGGGTCCTTGTTTACTTGGACGACATTCTTATCTTTACTGAAACAAAAGAAGAACACGTCAAACTTGTCAGAGCGGTTTTAAAGAAGCTGCGAGCCGCTCACCTATATGCCAAACTCTCAAAATGCGAATTCCACCAGGAAAGGATAGACTACCTAGGCTATCGCATATCCCCACAGGGCATTGAAATGGACCCGGAGAAGGTCAAAGCAGTACTAGATTGGGCACCACCCCGCACAAGAAAGCAACTACAAAGTTTCCTGGGCTTTGCAAATTTTACCGCCAATTCATCCCCTCATTTGCACAGATAGCCTTGCCCCTCACTAACTTACTAAAAACGAAGGGAACATCCTCAGTAAAACCTAGCCAGCCACTAACATGGACAATGGAGTGCCAAGCAGCGTTTGAGAGACTAAAGAGACTTTTTTCTGCCGAACCAGTACTAAGGCACCCAGACATGGACAAGCCCTTCATAATACAGGCAGATGCAAGTGATGTGGCAGTGGGGCTGTGCTATTACAAGAAAATGATGATGCAGTATTGCAACCCTGTGCATATACATCCAAGAAACTCACGGAAACAGAACAGCGCTGGCCCGTATGGGAGAAGGAGGCTTATGGGATACGTTGGGCATTACTCACGTGGCGACAGTTCCTGGAAGGCAACAAAATCCCCTTCCAGGTGTGGACTGATCACAAAAATTTAGAAGCCCTGAAAACTTCCAGGAAACTCAATCCCAAACAAGCCCGCTGGTCCCAGCATTTTCACCAATTCCAATTTAAGCTCAAACATTTACCAGGAAGAAAGAACTTCCTGGCAGATGCACTATCTCGCATGCCCCAATATAACAGCGCACGAACCACAGACTCTAGACCAATAATGGCAGAGTCACAACTGGCAGCGCCAGTAACCACAAGAACCCAAGCCAAAATAAAACCACAACTGGACAGCCAAACTGGGATTGAATTCAGAAAAAGTTTGGAAACAGATGATTGGTTCCAGAAAAACAAACATGTGTGCACAATGAGAGACGGATTGCCTTGGGTAGGGGAAAAGTTATATATACCAACAACTCAAAGACTAACTTTCATGCACTTTGCCATGACACAAAATCAGCAGGGCATTTTGGATTTGTAAAAACTTTACACTTAATTAAACGGCAATTTTGGTGGCCATCAATAAAAAAGGACATAGAAAGTTATGTTGCCAGCTGCCCAACCTGTGCATCAGCAAAGAGGTTGCAAGGGAAATCGCCAGGGCTATTACAACCAGTGGCAAGTCCCTCAGCCCCCTGGAGGGAAATAGCCATGGATTTTATAGTGGAATTGCCAGAAAGCAATGGGAATACTGTTATCTGGACAGTCACGGACCTATTTTCCAAACAGGTGCACTTTATCCCTTGCCAAAAAATTCCCACTGCAAAGGCCTTAGCAAAACTTTTCATCCAGCACATTTACAGATTGCACGGGGCACCCCAACGCATCATCTCTGATAGGGGAGTGCAATTTACGTCTGCATTTTGGAAGGAATTTTTATCCCTCTTAGGGACCACTCAGGGATTGACATCTAGCCACCACCCTCAAGGAGATGGACAAGCGGAACGCTGCCAGTCGGTACTTGAGCAATATTTGAGATGTTTTTTAAATTTCCAACAGAGTGATTGGACGGACTTACTTCCTTTTGCAGAAGTTGCCTACAATAATGCAGTCCACTCCAGCACAGGCTACACTCCTTTTCAAATAGCCAACGGTCAAAGTTTCAACCCTATGCCAGAGTTAACCCCAAAAGAACCAACGATCCCTTCACTGAAAGAATGGATGGAAAACCTACAAAACACCTGGCCAATAGTCAGAAAATCACTAGATGAAGCTAGGCGGGCATACAAAGCACAAGCCGATAAAAAAAGGGTTGAGCCTACACCATTCATTATAGGAGAAATGGTGTACTTATCTACAAAATACCTAAAGTCCCTACAGCCCTGTAAAAAACTTGGACCAAAATATATAGGACCTTTTCCAATTAAAAGAATCATAAATCCAGTAACAGTAGAATTAGAATTACCCAAAAACCTCAGGCAAATACACCCAATTTTTCATTGCAGCTTGCTGAAAAGAGAGCATCAGTCACATCTATGGCCAAAAATCCCCCCACCACCACCTCCACTCATGGTGGAGGGTGAACAACACTTCGAAATAAAGGAAATCCTTGATTCTAGGAGATATCATGGAGCAACTCAGTACCTAGTTGCCTGGAAACACCTCCCTCCCTCACAAAATGAGTGGGTCCATAAATGTCATGTCAGAGCCCCGAAGCTATTGAAGAAGTTTCACACAGAGTATCCTAACAAGCCTGACTAAATTTTATACTTGTGTTTTCTTTCAGGTGGATCTCTCTTATTGTTAAGAGGGGCCGGATGTCAGAATCCAATTATATTTCATCTTTAAATTATCAAATATAGAAACTCCCAATTCTGCCTTCTCTGGATTCTGCCATAAGAGGGAGAGAAGGGGGAGAACAAAGGGGCTTTATGGCCCTCACTTCCTTCTTTACACTTCAAAGAGCGGAATGCTGAATGTGTGTTTATTGTAACCTCGAAGCGTTAGCATACCAAAGGAGGGTAGTTGCCTTTCATGTAGTTATCTGAAGTCCCCATCCAGACGGAAGAAAGAAGAAAGGGGGTGGAATTGTGATACTTGAAACTATCACTGGAAGGGGGGTTGATTGGGTGGGACTACTGGGGAACCCCTTAAAACCTTGAATGGAAGAGCTTGAACCCCAAGTCCTGTCTAGCATGCCTGCAACCATTTTCTCTTAATAAAGGATTCCTGTTGGAAGAATTATTCCAAGAGTTCTGTCTTCTTAAGATGCAAAGTGGGGTGGGTCCTTACAGGTTTGTTGCATTATGAAATTTTCCAAGTTCTTTTTAAATCTGCCTGTTGTTGATGTTGCAACAATGCTACACCAAGGTGCTCAGTGATACACCTTGAGGATCAGCGGCCATCTTGATCAGCACATGTGAGATTTTTCATCTTCTCTTGAAAGAGTACAGGGAGTCCTCTACTTACAATCAAAATAGCGTCCAACATTTCCATTGCTAGGCAAGGCTGTTGTTAAAATGAATTGTGCCCCATTTTATAAACTTTTTTGCCACAGTTGTTAAGTGAATCATTGCAACTGTTAAGTAATTATGTGGCTGTTAAGTGAATCTGGCTTTCTCCCACTGACTTTGCTTATTGGAAGCTGGCTGGAAAATGGGGATCCCCTGACCCTGGAACCCCGCGACTGTCATAAACGCAGGACGGTTGCGAAGCTGTGGAATGGTTGTAAGTTTGAGACCAGTCATAGGTCACTTTTTTCAGTGACACTGTAACTTAGAATGGTCACCAAGAGAATGATTGTAAGTTGAGAACACTTGCAAAATTTAGGCCAGCCCCATCAGTTGGACCAAACTTTTGTTGAGGCTGGTTGTCAGGAATCTGCCGGTCTGTTTGTCCGGTATCTCCTCCCCTCTTTTTATATTCCAGGGAATCATTTGCCTGAGCTGCTTCCAAATATTATCTCATTTCTCACGACTTAAAAATATGTTTCTGCCCCTTTTGCCTATGTGACATCCCTTGTGTGTTTCTGTCAAGCCATCTTCCTTACTCTGTGTGAGACTACTAAAAAGAATGTGGCTGAGACAGAGAAAACCCTGGCTGGAGAGAGACCCATTTCCCTTAGCAAGAGTAGGGAAAGGAGGGGCAACTGCAGACAGGGCCCACTCACCATGCTGGCACTGGCTCTTCCAGAACTGTTGGCAGTAGAGAACGGCGACCGTCAGAAGGACCAGCACCAGGAGCACCAGGGCACTGCTCGTGAGCACCACCAGAGCCGGGTCTTGGACAGGATCCGTGGAACTTTCTTCTAAGCCAATTCTAGAGAGGCCTACAAGATCAAAAACATCATTCAAAGCAGGAAGGAACAAGCTCCTGTTTTCTATTTGGTGGGCAACAAATCCCAGTTAGGAGCCTGTCTTGGGCCTGACAGGACGTGTGCTCCGTAATGCAGAATGGGACATTTCCATCTCCCAAGTGCAAAATGAGCTTTGCTACAAGCCCAACTGGATGTTCCAATTGCGCAGCAATTAGCAACTGCAGAAGTTCCCTTGCTGCACCTCTTCCTAACTTGCCGACCAGACAGGCCTGCTCTGCTCTTGTGAGTGCATCGCTACTACTACTTCGAGTCTTCCTAATTAGAGGACAGTGTAAAGCGAGAGTTAGCATGCCTTGCAATTGAACTGGAATATACTGGAAATTAAAATAAATGAAAGCATTTTGCCAGGGCAATGCTGATTCTGTTCAGACAGAAAATGTGTGCTTGGAACCTGGAATCACCATTGCAAACAAAGGAATAGATGTTTCTAGCCCTCTTGACCAGAACATCTCAAAATGCCTCTGGGTCTCAAAAGTTTTATAGGCAATGAAGTCAGGCAGCTTTGGTTGGGTTTTCTTCCTATCGATCAGGAGTCAGCACGGATAGGCTCTGCAGGGTTTCACATATTTCACAAGGCTAACAGGAGCAGGGTATTGCCAATGCATCATCTGCAGAATCAAACTCCCCGGATAGGCAATTTCATACACGGAGGCCGGGAGCGCGATGGCTCAGCACTTAAAGATGCTGAGCTTGTCAACTGGAAAGCGGACAGCCTGTGCCATGTGACAGGGTTGAGTTCCCATTACTTGCCCCAGCTCCTGCCCATCTAGCAGTTCGAAAGCATGCAAATGCGAGTAGATAAATAGGTACTACTATCGGTGGGAAGGTAACAGCGTTTTGTGCGCCTTGGCGTATAGTCATGCTGGTCACATGATCACAGAAGTGTCTTCGGACAAAGCTGGCTCCCTTGGCTAAGAAATGGAGATGAGCATCGGGCACGACTGGACAGGGGAAACCTTGACCTTGACCTACATGTAGGCAGGGAGCCTAAATATTTGGCAAGCCTCAATCTTACTGCCGTGTAGAACAGGCGTCTTCAAACTTAGCAACTTTAAGACTTGTGGATTTCAACTCCCAGAATTCCTCAGCCAGCCATGGAATTCTGGGAATCTTAAAGTTGCTACGTTTGGGGACCCTGGTATAGAACTCTGTGAGGAAGATGAGGCCTGAAGCAAAATACAGACAAGTAGCTCCTAGAAGCCTAGTTAGTACGTACACTGTTGTTCAGAGGATGGGGTCTGCTTTGTGCAGGGTACACATTCAAGGTCCTGGAATCCACCAATCTGAGTTTTACTGTAGAAGCTATAAAGAGGAAGAAAAATGGGCCATTATTTAATATGGGGGAGTTGTGGAGGGCTACTTACCAATTGAACAGGGGCAGAGAGCACCAAAGGCTTCCCAAAGTCTGCAAAGCCCATTACTCTTAGTTAACTACAGCCACATCCGGTACCTTGCTCCCTGCTGCACCGAGGACTTGGTTCATACCCCAAAATCATTTCCAGTACGCTGATTATCTAATCATGAAAGCAGCTCATAATCCATAACAAATTCAATTAAATAAAGCCAGTTCATATTTAATATACCAAAGAGCAGCCCAAAATGAACTGAATTAACAGGGAGGTGCCAAGATCAAGGTGCAGAGGAAATAAGTGAATAATTGGCTTTAACCCTGCTCCCATGTTCATCTGCTTTTCCTGAGCTCAACCAGTCCTCAGCATGCAAATGTTACTCCTTGGAACAAGGATCTTAGGCATGTGGAAAAGCAGGATTACGAGCAGCCCACAGAATGAACTAACCACTTTCTGAACATAGCATGGATTTCCTGATTTGATACTGCTGCCCCACAAATCTGATGATTTTATTTATTCATTCTTCAAATCTACACTCCACTTTTCTTTCAGGATGCAATATTCCTTTCCTCTTGTTTTTCCCCACAAAAAAACAAAGTTTTGCTTCTGGCTGGGCTGAGAATGATGACTAAAAAGTCACTCAGGCTGAACTCGAATCTGAGTCTCCCCTGAGTCAGTCTAGTCTCTCAGAAATTAAAAATAGTTATAGTGCTACATTTATGAACTGCTCAAGCTCTGCAGGGCAGGGGATGTTCCTGTGAGGGACAAGGGAGGAACACCAACAGGAGAGCCAAGACTAGCCATTCCCAGCAAGGTCACCCAGTTGTGAAGACGATTCCAACTGGGCTGGCAAGACACTGGAGGCAAATGTGACAATTGTCAAGTGCAAGGGAGGAGACAATGAGAAACCACAACAAGGAAAGTTTGCCAAGAAAATCATGGGGTTAAATAAAACAAAGTGATTGGCAATATTGTGTCAGGCCCCTCGTATCAGATGGTACTCAACATGCTACTGAAAATTTGGAGTAATGATCATGTTTATATTATTATTAAACTGAAGCCTCTGGGAAAATATGGTTGCTGGCTGCTCATCAGGCTAAAGAAGTTTACCAAGGGATTTCCAAAGTTTGGACTCTTTCGGTCAACTCCAGACAGATTGTGTACAAATGGGAGCAATTCGACACCACTGTGAACAGCAATCATGATCACACTAAACACAAGGGGTATAATAAGCTGAGAGATCTCAAAGAACCCAGTCCATCTTTCCCTCATAGGATTTGATTTTCTTGGTGATGCTCTTAAAAAAGTAATTTTATAGGGTAACTTACTCAAGCATCCTGTCACAACCACAAATGGACTTTCAATAGCTGCCCAATCCTGCATTTACCATTTGAGCTCTTGCTTTGGTCAAAGGCCCCTGTGCTGTGGCGCTGGAGAGCCTTACCCGGGGAAGCAGCCTCCACAGGTGGCATCGGAGGTTGCACTGCAGTTGGACTTCTGGGCCCGGTTAATCAGTGTGCAGGAGACACAGGACTTGCAGCCGTGCACTCCCCAGCTGTCCTTGAACCTCCTGGGCTGGCATGGGCTGCACTCAGCCCCTCTTCCTTCCCCATAGCCACACTCCTGCAAGAGAGACGCACCCCATGACTGTTATCCTGGCTAGGGGTACAGAAAAATCACAGCAGAGAGGGAGAGAACGGGTTTCTGTGAAGGAGCTTTTATAGAGGAAACGCCACAAAACACCTTTCAGAGTGACAATCTTCCACCTATTCCAATAAGGGTAATTTAGCACCAACATTCTCACAAAATATGTTCATGATTACAATCTGTCTAGCACGCTCTTCACAGCTGTCTTTTCACCTGGCTAAAAGAAGCCCACCTGCACATCTGCCACTCTTACTGTATTCTCAGCAAACACAACATCTAAGCCAGCTTTAAAGCGAAAGAATTTGGGGGTGGGAGGAAATGGTCTTTTTTCAGGTAAATATAATATATATATTTCTGGAGAAAGAGATTATGGAAAGACAGGACGGGGGCTTATCCCACAGACTAAAAATGTCAGAGAAGAATGTTTGATTCTAAAGTGCATGCCAATTTGGAAAAAAGGAAAAAGTGGAGCAACAGTTTAATTTTTAAAACGCCTGACTGATTTAATTTGAAATAAATTGGCTTAAGTTGAAGACTACAGACATAAACGGCTATGGGAGACTCAAAGAGTTTCCTATGCAAATTCCATTGGGTCACAAATGTCTGAAAAGGCACAATAAGTACATCTTCACATTACCTTGGAAAGTTCGAATCCCGGGCCACACTCCTTGCAGGGGCTGCATTTGCCGTGATTGTCCAGGTATTCACTCTCTCGACATTCCACGGGGTTTGCCATGGACTGGGACGCGAGAGCCTGGTGGGAAACACACCTTCAGAGCCAGCGTGACATGGCACCTCAACTAACTAGGAAGAGCACCATCTCCCAAATAACCCTTCCAATAACACAAGAGACTGAGCAAAGTGGAATTCGACGGCATTCATCCAGAATTCCTGATAAACTCCAGGAGGCGCGCATGGAATTGGATCAGCAAATTCCTCTCTGAATGTATTTTCCAACGGCTGCCTGCCACCAGACTTCAAAAAAGCTAAAATAATATCACTTCTAAAGCCTGGCAAACCACAAGACAGAGTTGAAAGCTACCACCCAGTTGCCCTTTTGAGCTCCTGCTTCAAACTCCTGGAAAGATTAATTATAAACAGGATAGGTCCCATAATAGATGAACATCTGCCTGTGGAATAAGCCAGCTTCCGACAAGACCGGAGTGACGTAGAATAGATGATGTGTTAAACCTAACAGGCTGCATGAAATCCGGATTCCAACAAGGCCTCCCAACCACGGCTGCGTTCATAGACCGAAGTGCAGCATATGACAGTTTGGAAGGACGGGTTATACAGTTGTACAAACTATGCCATATTATCCCCTGCAACAATCTCTATCAACTAATTAATAATATGCTGAGTGATAGGTCCTTTCGGCTAATGGGGAACAACATAAGTAAGATAATTTTACCCTCTGGAAAAAAATATAGTTGCCCCTAAAAGCAGTTTTAAGTAAAAGATGGTCCCTGGTGGTGGAAGGAGAGCTCAGAATCTAAATCAGCCCAGGAAACCCGGGCAGAGAACGGAGGGTCCTTGGCACCTGAACCCGAAGGCACAGCCACCGGTTTTGGTACAATGATTTCCTCAAGCCCCACTTCTGCTTGCTGACAAACAATTGTGCGCTTTTCAAGAGGAACAGGATTTGCATCGAGTCTTTCTGAAGTTGAACAGAAGAGGGAGGCTTCACCACCCTTGCAGTGCTGAAGTGGAGCAAGGTAGGCTCAGGTGCTGCCAAGGGGCAGTCCCAACCCTTACCCAGGTAGCTGTGGGCAAGTCAAGGGCAACCCGGATGTAACACATCATCACGCAAAGACTGCGGCTTCCTTGCCTGCATCAGACAGAGGGATTCAAGTCCCAACAGTGGCATTTGCAGCATAACGTTGCTGGGAGCATCACCATTTTGGTTTGCCATAGATCCCATTTTTCCACAGCTTCAGTCGGTGACTTGTCTTATCCCCAGGGCTGACTCTTACCTCGGCCACGATGATCAGCGTAAGACGCAGCGCAGCTCCCTTCTCCATGTTGAACTGCTCCGTTCGCTGCTATCTGGAATACAAGCTACACAGACATAAAAACCATGGGTATCTCCCCAAAGCCCCCTTTCTTCTCCTCCAACACAGGATAAATCTCTTCAGTTTCAAGACAGTGTTTCATTTCCTCAGAAAAGGTCACAAGCGCCCCTGAGCCCTGCTGAGGAATTGTGGGGGAACAGCAGGAAATCCCCGGGGCTTTGGGCTGACGTGAGATGGGCAGAAGGCAGCAGCAACAGCAAAGCTCTTTGGCCACACAGCCCAGGAAAGGTTCAGAGGAGACCTTCCCTGTGAATACTGAAGCCACCTGGATGGCAAAAGGACACAGTAATCGCCCAGAGTCATACAACAGCGAGAGGGTGGAGGATAAATTTAACAAACAAAGATATAATAAAAAGGCAACTTAGCTTACAGTTTGTAGGAGACTTAAAAACAAAACAGATACAAAGAGGGGTTATGCTAATAATCCTTGCTCAGGATTGAGTTACAGGTAGTCCTTGACTTATAACAACTGAGACCAGAATTTACATGACTAAGCAAGGCAGTTATTAAGTGAGCCATGCTCAATTTTATGACTTTTTTGCCATGGTTGTTAAGCAAGTCACTACAGTTGTTCAGTGACTCACGCAGCTGTTGAGTACTGACTTTGCTTGTCTGAAGCCCCCTGGAAGGTTTCAAACAGCAACTGTGGGACCCCGGGAAGCGGCAACCGTTGTAAAGGCACACCAGTTATCAAGCACCCAAATGTTGTGACTAGGGAAATGCTGTGATGCTTGTAAGTGTGAGGACCAAGTTATGTCTCTTTTTTCAGTGCTGTTGTAACATTAAACTGTCACTAAATGAATGGCTGTAAGTTCAGGATATCTGCATTAAGCCCATTCAAGCAGAAATGTGTCATACTGACAACTGCTAAATCTAAATACAATTTTAATGAGATTGTGTCTATTATACCAGATCGCTATTTCTCCATGTGTGATTGAGGATCTTCACACAAGACCTCCCAGGAATCTGTGAAATTGAAATTATTTGCCAGCCTATGTTGAAAATAATACACCATTAAAATTCCACCAAACACTCAGGTGGCAGCAGAGGAACCGCCAGCCCTGCCCGGCCCCATCTGAGCACGCGAGGCTGATTGGGCAGGGCCTGGGGGGACGGCACAGTGAATGGTGGACCACAGACTGGCTGGCTCTGGCGTTGGGAGCAGTGCCTGGCCAGCCCCTGGGGAGGCAGCTGGTGGCCAGCTGGCACTTGGCCACTCTGGAAACAGGAGGGCGGTTGGCTGGGCCACCCATTTCTGGGGGAACTGGCCGTGGAAGAAGAGCCCTGGCTGATGGGAGGACTTGGGGGATGGCAGCAGCAGAAACAGGCAGGGGCAGGGAGCTGACCCTTGTCCAGCAGCCACCTTGCTCATCCCTGCTTCTTGTGGGACCCCGGACTTGGCAAGACTGCTTTGAGTTGATCAGGGTGCCTGATCACCTGAAGGGAGGCTGGGAATGGCAAGGATTTTGTAGGTTTTGGACTGTTTTGTGGCAGTGCGGCTGTCAGGGTTCCGACAGATGAAACTCTTCAAAGAACTTCGAGACATTGTTTACCTTAAAGCAGTGGTTCTCAACCTTTTTAATGCCGCGACCCCCAACCGGTCGTAAGTCGAGGACTACTCAACTGGTGCAGCACCATTTGCAGAATGGGACTTTTGGCGGGCTCAGCAGGGCAGAGACAGCCTGGACAATTCCTATTGGCTTTGGAAAGCCAATAGAATTAGACTCTATTCAAGAGTCTGTTCTATTGGCTTTCAAAAGCCAATAGAATAAAAGGGATAGCACAGCTAAGGAAAAGGGGAAAAAAATGGCGGACTGCATTGTTTGGCGACCCCTGTGAAATGGTCCTTCGACCCCAAATGGGGTCCCGACCCACAGGTTGAGAACCACTGCCTTAAAGGATCTTTATTCAAGAAGCATAGTATCAGCACTATTGAAGCCAAAAACTGGATTCCCCTCCCCTGAGCACATAGCATCAAAGCACAATTCCCTCCTCCAATTAACAGTCATAAATCACATTCTCCAATTAGTTTGAAAAGCAGGCTTTCCCTCCAGTTCTCCAGTCCACCAATTCTTATCATCTCTTATTTCAATAACCTTGCTTTACACACTAGGTTCAGTATTATTATGTCTAGCTAAACTCTCATGCACATTCTTCCCCCCAGCATCATCTAACTCTAACTCTAAGAGTAAAACATAAGAAGAAAATGGTTGCATCTCCATCTGTTGTCAAAGCAAAAACATCCGAGGTTAGCAGCGTTGACAGAAGCCTTCAGGATAAGCCAATATTTGGAAGATCTACAGCGAAACTCCAGGAAACTCAATATTTTCCAAATAATGAAAGCATGCCTGGCAAAGATCCATTTAGAGTGTAACCACTAAGTTTTAATGTAACAAAATGTAGGAAAAGTTCATTGACTTGCGGCTAATCTTGAGAAACTATCACTTGTTGAGTTTTGATGTAGTATCAAAAAAGAATATCCACAATTATCCGAGAAGGCTGTCAACATATACAGTACTTGTCCCTTTTCCAAATACATATAAGTGTGAAGCTGCATTTTCTTCATATAGTTCAACAAAAACTACATTTCTCAGTAGATTAAATCCAACTGTCTTCTATTATGCCAGATATTGAAAATATTTGCAAAAATGTCACTCTTCCTAATCTTTTTATTGTTAAAAATAGTTTTTAATGAATTTTTATATTAACATCTACTAGTTTAATATTGTTATTTTTACATTTCAATAAATGTTCTACAAATGGGTCAATTGTAATTTTTAATAAGGAAAATATTGCTACATATCTCATATAAACAGAAGCTTTTGTGAGTCCTCTATAATTTTTAAAAGTGGAAAGGGATCTTTGAAAACAAAAAGTTTAAGAAATACTGCACTAGATTACTGCAGAGGTCTCCAAACTTGGCAACTTGTGGACTTCGACTCTCAGAATTCCCCAGCCAGTTTTACCAAAGATGCTTTTTCTGTTTCAGACTCTACCAGTACTTATAACCAATACACCATTTAAACAAGGGCAGATGGACATCTCTAAATTTATATGGCAATGGAAAAGCTCAAGAATTGGATACAAATTATTGCAAGATGCTAAGGAAAGGGAGGTTTGGGTTTACCCAATTTGAAATTATACTTTGATACTTGTTGTTTGGTCTGGCTAAGAGTGGATGACTCTCCAAGATAAGAGGTTACTTAAGATTCAGATTAAAAATTAACATTCAGATGGCTTGCCTATTTATTGTATGATAAATGTTGATTTCAACAACCACTTTGTTTATTGAATTGGAATAAATATAAAGTAAGGTTCTCTGCAAATATGCTCCTTTGGGTGTCACCCCAGGAACCTTTTTTAAGAAAAGGAATAGTGGTGAGGCCAGACAGCTGGACTTAGGGTCAAATAATATTTTTCATTTATGGTAACCCTATACTCAAATCTAAAGAGGAGTTCGAATTAGAAGGATGTGTTTGTCATTAGTTTACACATTAGCCTATTGAAAGAAAGATTTCAAATAGATAAAAAGCTATGAATTTGATTTTCTAAGAAATGAATTGGAAATTCTATTGCTAAAGTTTATACGTTGCTATTGAAACTGAACTTGGAGAAAGAGCATGTAAAGCAGGCATGTCAAACTCGCGATGTCATGTGATGTAACGGGACTTTTTCCCCACTGCCGGCAATGAGGTGGGCGCGGTTTCGGTGTGAGAGGCATCTGACCCGCGGGCTGGCAGTTTGCCACGCCTGATGTAAAGCATGGGCAAAGAGCTTGGATATGATATAATGCCTGAACAATAGAAAAACATGTGCATGAAATATTTAAAATTTACATTAAATTATATTTAAAAGAAAATTTTTATAAGATAATGTACCATTGGTATCTTAACAGTGGACCAATTGTCAAGAATGTATAAAAGTATTTCAAGTAAATGTTGGAAATGTAAATGTATAAAGAAGGAACTTTTTACCATTTATGGTGGACATGTGATAAAGCAAAGAAATAATTGGAGTAGGATTCACATCTTAATACAGAGGATTCTGAAAGTGTAATTAAAGCTAAACCTAGAGAGTTTTCTTTTGGATTTAATGGATAAAGAATTGAAAAAAACCCTAGAACTTTAATGATAATATTTGCTGGCAACAGCAAGACTCTATGCACAAAAATGAAAGGATACTTTCTGAATCTCATAATGGATCAATGGCTGCAAACGTTGATGGTGTTAGCAGAAATGGCTAAAATGACTGTTTTAATTAAAGAAAAGAACACAAATAATTTTGTTTTTACTTGGAAACCACTTTTGGACTTTGTGCACAAAGTGAAAAAAATGAAACTCTGTTTTTGGGTTTTGCTGATTAGATGGGCTTGTTGTAATACCACAGTATTATGTAAACTTAAAAAGTTGAGGTTGTTATGTTATTATCTTATTCTATTGCGCCAAAAGGAATCCAAAGTCAATGCTTTCTTCTTCTTTTTCTCTTTACCTTACACTTTTTCCTCCCCCATTTTCCCATTTCTTTAGATTTTGTTTTTGGATAAACTAATAAAAAAAATATCAAGCCAGGAAAAATGCAGAAAGACCCCCCCCCCCGGACACCTGGGAGGAAGCCGCTCTGCCCCAGCAGAGTCCGTGGACGCGCAGGGGGCGTCGCGCGAGCTCCAATTAACAGTCCCGGATCAAGGGGGGGGACCCGCCGCTCGCAACGGCTCCGGGACGGCGGGAGCTGCGCTGCAAAATCCGGCGGCCCCCCCATCCCCCCTTCCTTTCGCCTCTTCCGCCAAGGTGGAAGCGGAGGGAAAACCCGCTCACCCCCTCCGAAAAGCGCAGGCATTCGCCCGCGGCCCCCCCGTGGACGGGGGCTTTGGAGCCTGTTTAACAAATGCACCTCGACGCCCGTCCCAAGTGCGAGGCTCTGGGCGACTTGAGCCTTGGAAGCAAAGTAAAAAAGCCCGACCGACCCAAGGAAAAAAATGTACTATTACGTTACCCTCCTTGGTGCAACATCATCACAGTATCAACACTATGCAACGTTATGAATTCAGCCAGGTTCCTTCGGGACCGTCCAGGCGCCGCCCAACCGGGCCGGGGCTGCCCGGCGCACCTTGCACCGACCCGGCACCCGCTCCGGCTCCGCTCTGCAGCCGCGCGCCCGTCCGGGGAGCCCGCCAGCCAGCCGGCAACTCTGCGCCACGGACGCGGCTTTCCTTCGCCGGCCGGGACTCGCCCGGGAAGGAGCCGCGCAGACCCTCCCGGCGCCTCCGCCCGCGCTCCCGCCCGCCCGCGGCCACTCACCGACCCGGCCCCGGCCGGGAGGCGACGCGCGGCCTCGGCTCCGCTTCTCGCTCAGCCAGCGAGAGCAGCCCCGTCGCCCGCGCGGAGCCAGGGACGTGTCCGGACTTGCCCGCCGCCGCCGCCGCTCGCCCGGCCCAGCCAGGAGGGAGGGAGGGGCGGCCCGGCTCACACGGCTCCCTCGGCGGGCGCGGGGGAGGCGGAGGGCGCCGGGGAAGCCCGCGATCCCCCGCCCGACGCTGTCGGGTCAGCGGAGCGGACGCGGCGCCTCCCGGCCTCGGCGGGGGCAGCCGTTGGGAGGCTCCGCAGCGCAGAGGGTCGGCCGGAGGGGGAGCGCCTCTTCACCGCAGGCCAGACCCGCTCCGCCCGCCCAGTCCCGGCCGGTGGGCGAGCGCAGGCGGGCAGCCCTGCGCGGAATCCCCGGGCGGGCGCAGCTCCGGCCGCCTCTGCTCTGAGCGTTCGCGGCAGGCAGAGGAGCCCTTCCAGCCCCGGCAGAAGCTCTCCCTCCGCTTCAGCTGCATAATTTCCCGGGCAAGCCTTCTCCGCGTCCCCGGTGGAAGCCGGCGGGAGGCTCCGGGGCCAGGCGCGTCTCCCAGAAGCGGGGCGAATCCCGCGGCCGTCTCGCCCGTCCGCCTCCCGCCTTCTCCCTCGGGGCCTCCCCGCGCAAGACTCGGGAAAAAGGACCGAAGAGCAAAGCGGGCTCGACCGCATCCTGAGCAAAGCGCTCGTTTTCACCGCCCTTTACCTTGGATACCGCCTAGCAAAAGGACACAAAGCAAAACCTTCAAATTTTCTTCCCAATTCGGCATTGAACTTCCCTATAAATTCACTCCGGTCTCTTGAAAAGAGGTAGGCAGTGGTGGGATTCAGCCAGTTCGCACAACCGGTAGCTAATTTTTTGTTGCCTAGAATGGACTTCCGGAAGTGGCATCCTCACAGAGACCCGGTTGTTCACCTATTTGAATCCCACCACTGGAAGTAGTGCCCACCCAGATACTCCAGCTGTATTGCTAACTTGGCCAAGTCTCTTGGGTGCTGTGTATGTCTTTATTTGGGATGTTTTTATTGTATTGTTGAATATATCCCTGTGTTATTTTCATAATTTTGGGCATTTTTCATCTGTGGTAGTGGCCTAGATTTCTAAAACTTAATTACCATAATTAAAATGCAAGAAAAGCATGAGGAAACCAAATTTTAAAAGCATGAGCCACAAATTGCAAAAATCTCAACTTAAAGTTTTATTTGATGCACATCCTTCTCAGCACCAGCACTCAGGCCTTCAAGAGTTACATATCATACAAGTACAAATTTGGAACTTTTCATTCCCCGTGACCCACTTTGCAAAGGAGGGAATAAACTGTTGTGGTCATCTTTGTGCAAGAGATAGGCAAGAAACAAGTTAGTCTAAAAAAAAGTCACTTGGAAAGTTAGTGTTAATTAGCAAACCAAGCAGAGGAAATTGAACCTTTTGCTTATCAGCTAACTAAGATATGTAGGAAGCACACCACAACAGTAATGGGGGACTTTAAGTACCCTGACATCAACTGGGAGACAAACTCTGAAGCAAGTGGGAGATTGAACAGGTTCCTGACAAGCCTGACTGACAACTTTGTCATCCAAAGGGTAAAAGAGGGAACTAGAGCAGAGGGTCCCCAACCTGTGGGCCACAGCCCACTACTGAGCCATGCGGGACAGGATGGCCAGTGTGCGTACACATGCATGCACTCATCCCCATGCCGTGAGGCAAAAATGGGGTGCCGCGTGGTAAAAACGGTAGCGCTAGCGAGTGTCATGTGGACGCTAGCACTGCCCCATTTGCATCGCACATGCTCTTGGCACTGTTTGTGTGTGTGTGCCCACGCGCACATAAAATGCTTCCCCCTATTTTTTCTTCCAGTCTGTCAACTGAGAAAGGTTGGAGACCTCTGAACTAGAGCAGGGGTCCCCAACCTCTGGTCTGGGGATCGGTACCGGGCCACAGCATGTCAGCAACCAGTCCGCACAAACAAGCATAGCCCCATCCGTGGGATAAAGGCAGCACACAAAACCACACACTCTCCTGTCCACAGAAAAACCTTTCCCCACGGAACTGGTCCCCTGGACCTCTGAATTAGAGAGTCAGTTGGACCGGACCTAATTCTTACTAACAGAGCAGAAGTGATAGAGGGGGTTGAAGCTGTGGCAACATTGGGGAAGACACAATGTGATGTAGAAAGTCAATGCTTTATAAAGCAGTACTAGCACTTGATTCTTGATTCTGTGTTCACGTGATCTTGATTCTGTCCCTCTGTTAATGCAACCTAGGATTGTATTGGGTTTTTTGGTTGCTGCTGCACATCATTGGGCCATATTTATGTGATTGTCCACTTAGACTCCAAAGTCCCTCTTGCAGTTATTACTATAAAGCCAGGGTTCATCTAATCCTGTGGTGGTGAACCTATGTCACGGGTGCCAGAGGCGGCACTCAGAGCCCTCTCTGTGGGCACGCGCGTCGTCACCCCAGTCCTAGGCCTTCAGCTGGGTTTTATAAAACCTTTTCACTTTAGGCCTCTGCCATTGTGTGCAAAAAAAAAAAAAAAAAAAGGTCCAATCAATCAATTTCAACTTCTGGGGGGGGGGGGAAATCTCTTGCAAAGTTGGAATTGATTGATTGAACTTTTTAGTCCCACCCAGTCTGCCGTTACCACGGCAGCCATGCCCACCCAATCGTCTGCAATTCCTTGAAGCAAGAACTTATCAGAACCAATTCAGAAAGTGTTGCCTTCATGCTTTCCTTTTCGGCTTCCAGTTAGGTGAAACTTAATTGGGTTGCACTTTTAACCTGGATTTAGGATTAATACTTAGATAATATAGACTGTTCAGTTTGTAGTGTAGATTAAATTATTAAACTATGTTGAGGAGGGGCAGGATTTCTTAACTTTTGATATTCATAGCATATCTCATGAAATTCTATAGCTGTTAAAACCCTGTGTTTTTGACAAGTGGCTATTTGACTGTTATTTTAATGCCAATATATTTGATTTAAGCTGTTTAAAACACACTGCTTTTTTTTTTTATTGAATTTTTTTCAGAAATTTTACAGATAAACATCCACCCCCCCTCCCAAACCACCCCACCCTCCCTCCCCCGACTTCCCAGAACTGAATATAGGATTATTTAACAAATTTTAAAAATAACGTTTACAATTTATAAGATAATTAATAATAATAATAAAAATCGTAATCATAATATATATAAATAATAATATACATAACATAAGCTTTAAAGTGAATAATATATATTAAAAAAAAAAAGGAAAAAAAAGAAGAAAAAAGGAAAAAGAAAAGAGAGAGAAAGAAAAAAAGAAAAAGGTAGACGAAAAATAAAACATATATAAAAAAGTATATGAATAATAATACATAAAGCGTAAAAAAAAGGAAGAAAGAAAGAGAAAAAAAAAACAATCATTACAAGTTATAGAAAAGCTAAATAATATTTTTCCATATCCAAATTATGTTGTATAAAATTTATCCATTTTTCCCATACCGCAAAAAATTTCTCTTGAGATTGCTCCTTTAAAAAAGCCGAAATCTTTGCCATTTCTGCCAAATACGAAACTTTATAAAACCACTCTTGTAAAGTAGGCAAGGATTCCTTCTTCCAATATTGTCCTATTAGCAGCCTAGCGGCTGTAATCAAGTTTAACATCAATATAACCTCCTTAGCATCACAATCAATAACAATACCTAATAAAAATAATTGCGGAGTAAATTTTACCCTCTTTCTAAAAATTCTTTGAATATTCCACCATATCTTAATCCAAAAAGCTTTTATATGCTTACACGTCCACCAGATATGATAATAAGTAGCATCCAAGTGTCCACATCTCCAGCATTTCGGCTGTAAATTAGGGTACATAATGGACATTTTCTTTGGATCAAGGTGCCATCTATAAAACATCTTATAAAAATTCTCTCTTAAATTTTGCGCTTGTGTGAATTTAACATTTCTTATCCAAATAAGTTCCCAAGTATCCATTGAAATCGAATCACCAATATTCTGTGCCCATTTAATCATACAATCTTTAACTAATTCAGATTCTGAATCCAATTCCACTAAAACCCCATAAACTCTCTTTATATGGGTTGGCCTTTGATCTCTTACTTGTTTTAGAAGAATTTCATCTTCTCTGAGCCAGCCCATTTTACAATCCATCTTCCATCTATCCACTATTTGTCTATATTGGAACCATGAATAAATTAGATTTTCATGTGTTAATTCTTCCAAAGATTTTAACTGCCAGTCTTGGCCATCCCATCTAAGTAACTGTGCATAAGAGACCATATCCATATTAACCCCTTTCCTTATGCCTTCTATGGCATGCCGAGGTATAGCCCATAATGGTATTTTAAAATCACATTTGTAATACTTCCTCCACACTCTAAGCAAAGAGATTCTTATAATATGAGACTTAAAAACCCAATCCACTTTTTTATTAAATATTAAATAGGCATGCCATCCAAAAAGTAAATCCCAACCTTCCAAATGAAGTATTTCTATATTTGTTAAATTCACCCAATCGCTGATCAATGTTAATACTACAGCATCATAATACAATTTCATATTTGGTACCTTGAGTCCACCTCTCTCACGAAAATCTTGCATTATTTTAAGTTTCACCCTTGGTTTTTTCCCTGCCCAAACAAATTTATTAATACCTTTTTGCCATTCATCTAAATTACGATCACTCTTTAGAATAGGTAACATTTGAAACAGAAAAATAAACTTTGGCAGGACATTCATTTTAATAACTGCAATTCTACCCATAAGGGATAACTGTAAATTGTTCCAATTTTTTAAATCCTTCTGTACCTCCGTCCACAGCTTTTCATAATTATTTTTATACAATTTTGCATTGGAAGCAGATAATATAACCCCCAACACACTGCTTTTTTTAAGCAACTCAAATATTCTTAGGACATTTTTAGGATTTTTCAGATTTTTGAATTGGGAAAAGCAATATTTATTTTTTACTTGTAAACTGCTCAGTCATTTAGTGAAATGGAGGTGGGACATATGAATTTGATTAATAAACAGAAAAGAATTAAATACATGTATATTTCTAAGCCCCTTTATGGATTACTGCCTTGTCGTGGCGAAGGGGCTTGCGTAACTCAATGAAGCTATAACCTATGCCATGCAGGGCCACCCAAGACGGACAGGTTATAGCAGAGAGTTCTGACAAAATGTGATCCACTGGAGAAGAAAATGGCAAACCACTTCAGTATCTTTGCCATGAAAACCCCATGGACAGTACTAAAAGGCAAAAAGATATGACGCTGGAAGATGAGCCCCTCAGGTCGGAAGGTGTCCAATATGCTACTGGGGAAAGTAGAAGTAGTGTATACCTTTTTTTAATGAAAATTATCAGCACTTTTGATCAGTGACGTCATCAAAGTAAACAAACCCACGTGCTGATTACGTCAACAGGGCACAGCCCTAAAAGGAAGTGACGTGCTCAGCCCCCACCCTCCGGATGTGACGTTTTGGCCTAATCCCATCAAGATTGGCAGTCAATCCTCTGGGTACATGATTAGGTTAACCCTAGACTAATTCTATGGACA